GGTGCTTTGCTCACAGTGAACAGTAGCAAAACTGTAGGGGGGGGAATATTTTTATCTCTAGTGAGCAAATCTATCTATCGGACATTCTAAAGGTATGATCTTCTTAAATATTTTGTGATTGTGCTGTTGAATCGAATTTTATGTGACGTAAGGGCCAAGAATGCATGGACCTTATAAGAGATAGACTAACCCAGTGGGCGGAGCGCATGTCACCGACATGTCGGCAAGAAAGAGTAGGGACGATCTGGTTTACTTTAACACTAAAACCTATGGCATTCGTATCATATAACTGTTTTTAATTATTAAATGTGATACGTTGTATCGTGATGAGATTATGAAAGCCACAGTTTCTTGCAAATAGGATTTAATATATCTCATTGAAGCACTTTTTACTGCATTTCGAGCATTTTTTTTTTTTTTTTTTTTTTTTTTACGCGTAATTCTTCTACGAACATCTTTACTTTGGTAAAACGGTAAAAACTCTAAGCACAAGATTTATGAACTTAATTTGGCGTATAAATAACGTAAAATTAAATAAGATTGATAGTACGTGATGCTTTGAAATAAATAAGGTAAAATTAAACAAGATCTGATAATTTTTTTTAATTTAATGACCATTTTCAAAATTATAATAACATTACAAAACAATCATTTATTTGATTATTAACTATTATTTGATTATTAACATCATTAACATTAAAGTGGAATATTTATTTTAGTAATTTATAAAATTCGGAGCATAAAATTTTCTGAGTGTAATGAAGGGGGGGGGAAGGGTCAAATAAAATCTAGACGCACTCAGATTTTATATTACACCCAAAAGGAAGCCTTTTTTTTAACGTTTTGTGTGTTATCTATATTTATTGAATATCATGTTCTTCGCCCGTAAACCACATACATTTGAAAACAGCATATCTTTAGAATTTCCGCACTGGAGATAAAACTGTTATTTTCCCTACAGTTCTCGCTCTGAACTCGTTGAGTTTGTTAATCAAAAATTCATTAAAGTTTTACAAAATAGGAAATAGATTAAAACAAATTCGACCGTCCAAGATGCCCATGTTCGGGTGGAGGATTGCATTATTCAAAATTTGATGGCTCTAGATACTGTCGTTTTTGTCACAGTGCGAGAAACATACATGTATTCATGCAGATTCTTCATTATTTAATTTCTTTAAATATAATACAGGGCGATAATATTTGCTAACAACAATTTGCAAGGAGACACTGACATTTATAGTAAAACAGCGCAAAATGCCGCTTCGAAACTTACAGCCTTTCTATGCTACCGCCCCTTTGGGCTAATAAATTAAATTAACAGTAAATAAAAAAATGTTATGCAAAACTAAAAATAAATTTAAAAAATAATCACTATAAAATACAAGCAAAATTAATTATTACGGTTAAATACAATTTTAATATTAGAATTAAATGTATAAAATTATTAAGGAGTCAAAAGTGTTTATCACTATGATGTATTATGAAATATAACTGAAATAAAATTCCTTTATAAAAACTGTGCTATAATACTCATCTATAATTTTAAAAAAGCAGCAAAATTTAGAATTTTAAGCAAAACTTTCAAAAATTCATTTTTAAATATTTTAGTATTTTTTACTTATTTACACCAATAAAAAGCATAAAAATTGCTTGTTTGAAATTGTCTGTTAGTCCAGATTTAAAATATTATTATCTAAAAGAAGTAGTTACAAATTTCCTTACAGCATAGGAAAAGCTAAAAAATATCCAGCCCTGAAAGCATGCAATAGCTTTATAATTATTTGGAACGTTAATTGTGCCTGATAAATATGCTAAATTTTTAAAAATCAATCTCAGTTTCAAAAATAAAAATATGTAGAAATTCTAATTTGTGAAATGGGGCGCTACAACCAGCTTTTTCTTGACAATTATACACGCTGCAAAAGGCAACCACTGTTAAATTTCTGCAAGTCGTCCCTACTCCTCCGGATATGATCAAGGTGACAGCCGGGAACGCCTCAGACGACGGAGAAAACCCATTTGGGTTAGTCTCTTTCATATAAGGTCCATGCAAGAACGTGGTATTTAATAAATAAAATAAGCGCACAAGACGTTAATAATAAAAAGATAAAAAAGTGTTTTCTATCTTAGTAAGAACATAGATATGATAAACTGAGAAAGACTGGAAAAAAAAAAAAAAATGTATGCCAACACTTAACGCTGCATCGATAATTCGAAACATATACTGCTATGGTGCTTTTAAAATTTTTGTAATTTTTGCTGTTGAATTGTGATGGCGTAACTGCGAAGAAAATGCTTAATAATAAAGCTAAAAAGACAAAAACAACAAAAAAAAGGTTCAGTAGAAGTGAGTACAACAGCAGACTGGTAGACTGCGAGTGGAAAAAAATCTTAACAAACCCTTTTGGGCGACGACGAAAATCTGAAACCTTTCAGATCCTTCCCCCCCCCCGATCATTTTAGCAGTTTTCAATTAGTTTATCAATATCATATTTTTAAGCTAATTACTTGACCTGAAAGAAGTTAGTGCCGAAAATCTTTTCAAATGATGATGATTTGAAATGAATATTATTTGCTTATTAATTTTAATTTCCTAGCTATTCACGAAAAATATAAGAAATTAAGAGTAAATATACAGTCGAATCTCGCTATAACGAATTTCAAGGGACCGGCCGTTTGGTTCACTATAGCTGATCCGATAAGAAAAATGGTATTATCTTATAAGGTATTTCTCCCACCTGCTTTCGTGGTGTAGTGGTTCTGCACGCTGGGCCGGTATTCCAGAGGTCCGCGGTTCCCGGCGAAGGCGTTTGCTCATTTTTCATCACTTCTGCTTTAAAAATAGCATAATGTCTCTACAGTGGCGCCCGAACTAAAAGGGTGTTGGATGATGATTCTCCATACCCAGGATTTGGCGACTAGGTCCCATTAAACCCTAGTTCTCCCACTTTCCTAGCGTGACTTCGTGGTGTAGTAGTCAGCAAGCTGGGCCGGAATTTCAGAGGTCAGTGGTTCGATTCCCGACGAAGGCGTTGCTAATTTTTCATTTCTCTTGCTTCCAAAAATCCTAACGTCTCTACAGTGGCGCCCGAACTAAAAGGGTAGTGGATGATGATTTCTCCCACCCAGGATTTGGCGAATGGATCCCCTAAAAACCCCAGTCGCCCTTTAAAAAGGGGAAGTATATAAGGTATTTCTCCCACCTTCTTGGCGTGCCTTCGTGGTGTAGTGGTTCTGCACTCTGGGCCGATATTCCAGAGGTCTGCGGCTCGATTCCCGGCGAAGGCGTTTGCTCCTTTTTCGTCACTCCTGCTTTAGAAATAGCTTATGTCTCTATAATCTCATAATTTTTCTCATAATTATCTCATTAATTCTCATAACTCCGATATTTTACTTCTTTTAACAATATTGTATGCTTTTGTATTTGATTGCACTATAAAATGAATTCGATGTATTCATTTGATTTATAGTCTTTTTCATTGGCCTAAACATAGTAATCAATTTAGTAATATAAAATCTAGAACCAGAGCCGCTGCAGTAAAATTTTTAAAATTTAAAGAATAACATGCAGCAAAATTTAAAAATGGCAAATTTTTTATAACTTAAAGAAGGTACTAGACAGTAGAATTAACGCAGCAAAAGTTTTAAAATTTATTGAGGTACCCTGGTAGTAGAATTTAGGGCCCACAGAGATTGGAGAGGGTGGCAAAATATTTAGCGCCATTACTGGCTATTATAAATGTGTTTGCCAGTAATTAGTTATTTTATGATATTGTATGAATTCTTATATATAATTTAATACCTAAAATCAAGTTATATTCCAAGTTATTTATTATATCCTTCACATATGAATTTTTTTCTTGGTTCTTTATTTATTGATATCAGCAAATTTTAATTTCTTGTTTTCAGCAATTCAGAATTATTAGTTTATTGCAGAGAAAACCTTTAAGTAAAGATTATAGTAGAAATTTCTGTTTTTTGAAAAGGTGTTCTTTTGTCTACTATTTGATCTAAGTAAACTTTTCGGTGGCTAAATTTATACTACGAATGTGCTAGAATTGTGTGTATATATCTGACTGAAACAATGAAATAAAATTTTTCAAAAGTATCATGTTTAAAAGTTTCATCTAAATAAATTTTGAAAACCTTTGAGAGTTAAAAATTTTTTTCCAGAAATTATGTAAGACTAGTCTATTAGATTTTTAATAAATTAATAAATGGCTAAAAAAGGAATCATATGATATTAAATCTTCCTCCACCCAAACAGTATATATTTTTGCCTAATTTCAATTGAATGAAGTAAATACGTGACCTGTATTTCTAGACTTTGAAAGAAATAAACATTACTGTAAATTTATTTGATCAATTAAAAAATTTGCAAGAGTTGAAAATCAGGAATTTTTAGCTTTAATTAAAGAGTTACAACAAAACGTTGGGGGGGGGATTAAGAATTTTACGTGCTGAACATTATTCTTCGTCTAATACAAATTAAGAACAGCGTTTAACATCGCTTTGCTAGGTAGTAATTTGATAGTCAGAGTACAGTGGTTACCATAGTTGGTTGAATGTTTTCCGGAAAATCAAAGATAAGAGTTCAACTCTTGTGTAAATGCTTGGCTAAGTTCTCCTACCTTTTCGTAAGTATAATTATTAAATACTGGCTCTCTTGAAACTTCACACTTATCTCATTTCAGAAGCGGATGGAAATACGCTACCAAAGAATATGTATTGTACATAGACATTCTTTGACACTACCGTTGAAGTATTTGTTCTTAGACGGTTAAATGACCAATGGTTTTGGTGCATCTCAACGACGAATGAATTGACGATCTCCAACCACTGCTGAAGGCAAACAATAAGATCACGATACTGCAAGTTTTATGAATGGGCAATGAGCAATACGTCAACGGAAGGAAACGAACCACGCATGCGCTGAAATTTTGGCCACCAGGATCGCTGTATGCAATAGTTACGATGTTTGATGGCGCTCAGTAGCTGATTCAGTTGTTTGACAACACGTTGTTTGACAGTGTCAAAAGAAGGTGACAGGAGAAGAAATTTCATCGTAGCTGAAACTTTCTCATTTTTTATTTTACGTATTGCGGTACTTCAGTATCAGTAAAACTACATTAAAAAGTGTACTTTCATCTTCGTTGATATAAATTATTGTTTTAAACATCAAAGTTATTGTGATAAATGACATTTTGCTAGCACGTGGTGCATCTTCGGTCAAGAATCATTAATCTGTGGTATGTAAAATTTTCTTTTTTCCATGAATTGAATTACTTTCCGTCTTATTTATGATAAATAATAACTGAATGTTCAAATACCTTATTTGTTTATATTTGAGTTGTTAAGAATCCGGAGAAAATGTTTCATTCACATACATTTTAGGTTAACTTTCCCAGATTCGTCTTTTAAACCCATATCATTTAAATTTTTTGGTATGATCATTGATTGTAATTATGCTCAACAATCAGATTTTCAGAGTAAACTAATCATCATTTATTTGTTTCGTGTTTTTAGTAATTAATCTACGTTAAGTACTTTATGATGTAATTTTCGTGATTGTTTTCATCCAGATCTCTCATATTGTCATATAATTTGTAATGCGTTGTAAATTATATCTAATATACGGGAGAAAAAAAAAAAAGCTCAAACACCATGCTGACAAAATTTTAATTGCTTAGAAAAGCATAGCTTTTGAGATTTCCATGGAAATAAACATCATAGTGGTAGAATGAATTATTGAGGTGTTTGCAAAAAAGAGCGGGAATCGGAAGGTCACAGAATACAAAGTATAATTTATTTGCTTCGTATTCTCGTAACGGCGTTATCATTTTATATTTAGTTGTCATATTCACTTGTTTATTAATATTCTAAGTTTTATTCACGTTATTTTTACAATATTTTGATGATATTGAACAACCAACCCCCTTTGCACGTGTTTCTTAAACAAAGCACACTTTATTTATTCAAAGTGATTAGCTATTTTATAAGATTGTCGTCCCCCCCCCCCCGAACGTTCATGTGAAAATATTCGGCAAGCAATACTTCAGTTTAACTTATTAGATGTTTCGTAACTTCTGTTTTTTACATTTCGCTCTTCCATCATTTATTAAGAGGGTGTGCGGGGGTGGAGTCGTCTGCGTATATGACATACACGCAAAAATACCTTCAGTGTATCGAAAGGAATTTTTTTGTTAATGCTACCAGATTTGTTGTTAATAAATCTTCATTTCATTAAGTTTTTCTTACTTGTCACATTAAAAAAATCGTGATCTGGATGGTTTTTACGAAAAATAAGTTTTTTTTTTTAAAGTATGTACTTTTGTTTATGGGGGGGGATTATATAAGAAACTGAAAAAGAATTGATCATATTAAATTTGTAAAATGTATTATCATAGCGTATTAAATTCTGTAGCATGCAGTTTAATCATTAAAATTCAGAGACACATGTTCATATTTTATCCTGGTAAAAGTTTACAATTGGGTACCTCTTGTTTTTTTGATGCCAAGATCGGCGCCATGAAAGCCCAATTTCGAGATGGCCACTACGCAAAACTTGCACACATTCTGTGTCCACGTACTCTGTTACTTATAAAAATCAGGAAGCTAAAAACTCTCGTGGTGTCCAGAAATGGGGTTTCATCGCCAAAACTGAACAAAATTTGTCACTAATCAAAGTGGCACCCAGTTCTACACTAAACCTTTACAACAGTCTAATCTTAAAAATACACAATTTAAAGAAATAAATTTCAATATATTTTTAGTTTGCATTTGCTCTTTAATATTCCACTAGCCCTTTGTACATTTCTCTGTACTTTTCGATTATCCGCCCTATCCTCCCGAAAAGTCGCCAATTCTTTGCGAGTATTCTTTCACAAATCTAAAAGACAGCCAGGCAAAGAGATGAGCAAGCTTGAGTAGTCTTGGTGGTTATCAGTAGGTTCAAAATTCTATCATACAAAAAAGGCCGATTTTTTAGTGTATATTGTGAAAAACTGAAAGAATTTTGAAAGAAATTGTTGACTTCAAATCAAAGATTTAAACTCAAAATTTAAAAAAAAAAAATGTACGAAAAGTTAAAAAACAACTCAGTATTATTAAACATTATATGATAGTATTTGGTAATTTAAATTGACTTAAACAACCAAAATTTTAATATATAGCTGCACAAATTTTCTTCATCGAATAGAACATGTTTAAGTTTAGAAAAAAAAAAAGTGTGATTCAGCAACAAAACTGTTCGAGGTAATTTGAGATTTAGGAATATTTATTTATTGAATATGGCATACAGTAAGATTGCTATATGGAGTGTTTTCTTATAAATTTCTAAAAGAAAGCAATAAAATTTTAAAAATAGAAAATAATCTAACTTTTATAATAAAAAATTACCAAGTAATTTTTAAAAAATAAGTTGTATTTTATAATAAAAAATTACCAAGTAATTAAAAAAAATCTTAAGTTGGATTTTATAATAAAAATTTTAATATTTGGAAATTGATGGAGCAATAAACTTTTTATCTTGGTTTACAGAGTGCTCTCTATATACTGAACATATATTTACTTAAGTATCAGTATTTCTGAAAAAACATTTTCATTATTAAATAATTAAACCTGTATTCTAATCCTGTTTTTGTTTAAATATTAAAAATGCAAATTTGGAATGTACATTCTATCTGTAAATAATGATTTAAAAAAAAATTATAGTGTGAAATACCATGAACTAAAAATTAAAAATGGCTTATAAAATTTTTAATGTGATCAAAAACCAATAAGCTGCATAGCTTGATACTTGAGGTTGTGCAGATTTTCCACATTAAGGATGATAAATGAAGTCATAAAAATTTAGATTTTAAAAAATAATAATAAATAAACAATTTAAAAAAGGCACATAAAAGCAATTAACTTATTTATGACATATTTACAAAAAAAATATATACAGTTACTTTATAATGAAGAGAAAAAACAAAATATTTTATGTATTTTTCAAACATCCATTTTGCAGTTGCTTGCTTTTAAGCTTTAAAATGTTTGAGTTGCCTAAATATGCAATCATTACTCACTGATTATTATTATTATTTTGTGTCCAATTTTACCAGTTTTTTTTTTTTTTTTTTTTTTTTTTTTTTTTTTTTTTTTTTTGTGTGTGTGTGTGTGTGTGTGTGTGTGTGTTACAGATTTATTTTTCACTTTTATCTAAAACATGCAATTTTGATACAATGAAAGAATATTATTTTTAATTATAGTTTCTGTTTTTAACTTTTTTTTACCACAATGCAAAATTTTAGTCACTGGAATCTTGATCAATTAAAAGAGCATAGGGGGAGATACAAGTGTATGAGTTTGGGTAAAACATTTATTTGGTGACAGTTATAAAATTTATAATCAATAGAATATGGTAGCCTGCTTCAATAACTGAATGAAGAAATTATTCACCAAAGTCATCTGCATATTCTCATGAAGCCCAGCTTTAATACGAGTGATACAATACCACTATTGTATCCTCTTCACACAGGGCTTAATTCTAAAAGTAGAAGTGTCGGAGCCCTATGGAAGACCTTCAGGAAAGAGGAACAAAGAGTAAATAAATAAATAAAATGGCTGTTAAAATCATTCATAATTTAAAAAGTGAAATTAATAATTATTTATTTCATATTAATAATCAATATATATTAATTATTAAATAATTTCAGTTTAAAGTCATTAAATAAATTGTAAAGAGATAACATTTAATAAACAATTTTTAATATAATTTTATTGCTAAAAATAAAATTTTCGAGATCAGATTTTTATTCAAATTGTTGTTCAGTTACATAAAAGAAGTGTCGGAGCCTTCTATTTAGAGCTCCGATGCACTCCGGCTAATATTGGAATTTATCCCCAAAACTAAGCAGTACCGGAGCCGGCCTCTGGCGCAATTTAAGCTCTGTCTTCACAATAGTTTAATGTTTTGGGGGTGAAGGATTTCTATAAGCTAAGGGTGACCACCCGTTTTGGGAAGAGTGCCACTATTTTAAAAAACAAAAGTTATGCATGCCACTTTGAAATTTTCCAATGTACTAGAAAGCATAAAAAGGTGAAAAAATGTTTGTAGGCTGAGTATGGGATTTTTATGTAAATAGCACACTTTCTTATGTATGTCTGAGTAGTGGACATGTAAAAAATAATATAATAAATAAAATTACAAATTAGGGTTTTATTGTCAATAAACATATTAAAAAGTTCAGTCAGTTAGGTTATATATAAAACAAAAGTTAGTAATTTTAAACATTTAATTCTAAATAACTATTTAACAGTCTAACTTAATTAATGTGGGTATAGTTTTTTTTACCAAATCACCTCTGTTAGGATTAGTTGTTTAAGATGCTAGCAAAATTAGTTTAGTTAATCTTGAACAATATTTTGCTTTTATTAAATTCATAATAGAAAACATTTGTTCACAAACATATGTTGATCCAAACCTACAACAATATTTGACAGCCAAATTGTGTAAATTTAGGAAATTGCTTCTTGGTGCAAATTTCCAAAATTCAATATAATTGGGATCACTTGCAGTTAAAATAAGTTCCTTATACAGTGGAACCCGAGATATAAGCACTGCTATATATGAAAAATTCTAGATAAGAGGAAAGTATGAGCGAAAAATTAGTCCCTAAATACGAGCATTGACTCCGACCAATGTGCCAGGCTGTTGGTATGAATGGCGAGTTTTACCATCCGGCTGTTTACGGATCTTTCTAGCTCTGGTGCAATTTTTGTCTTCTAATGTACATAAAATATTGCAGAAAAATTATTAAAATGCTCTCTAGAATATGTGTGGCTAACCAACTTGCATAAACTATTAGATGTCTCGCTTCTTGGAAGCTAACAGTTTTTGGTTGGACTTTTAAATTTGCGTTAAGTTTACATCATTGTTCCTTTACAAATTCCCGAAAGAAAATGATAATGACTACTCGTAACTGCACTGTATTTGCTGATATATTTTTATTTTTTACATATCATTCATCAAGTTTTAATATGATGCTTTGTAGCAGCTTTATTGAATTCTACAAGAAACTGTTAAGATATTTATAGAGTATAATACAGAATTCAAAATACTTGTATAGTAGAAGATCCAGAGCTTTGTGGGATGTATATGATTCTTCAACTTGTCATAATATGCTAATTAAAAGATGCGACATGTGCATCACATATTAAATTGAATAAAAACATGCAGTTCCCTTTATTCTGCATCTGCATCACA